TATACATGTAAATGAATATAACGCAGCGAATGCGCCAAACAGTATAAACGCGGCTGAAATACGATATTAAAATCTTAAATGTGCAGTATGATTTAATTATGTTTTAGGATTTACAAATGCTTTGTCATTTGTATTTATACTTGTACTGCATCACAAGGCAGTACGTACTGTAAGTGAAAAAACTTCACATGTGAGATTGTCTTGTATATATTTTTGCTTTCTTTGATAAACACTATTAAACACGCAAATTTTAATTAGTGAGACGCAATGTTAAATGTCACCTGCATGTCATTGTCATTGCCCTTTAACCCCTGGTCTAATTGGCCGCTTTTGAAAATATTGATCATGACATAGTAGGGTACCTGCAAGGTAGGGATTGCTGCGGGCATTAAAGCAAATAGTGAAATAGAACTACAGTAAATAGCACAAATTATATATCAAGCACAGTTATTACTCGCAGCGACTAGTGAGCTGTGAGCTTAAGGCCTCAAGCCAGTAAGGAATCGATTCTTACCATGAGTGGAACTGCGAAAAAGCAATATATTATATATTAAAGTAGCCAAGACCAGGGGTTAAAGGGCAATCACAGGTGACAGATATTAAACATGTGCGTCTCATTGACATACAGGTAAATTAAATTTTTGCTATCAGATTTCATATCAAGTCTGTTTACTGCTAGACGCATGTACCACATTATATAGACTATATACACAGATTTATTACACTATAAAAATATAGAACTGTCAGTGGCCAAAGTCCATTGAATGAACAACGCACGAATCAATGCAAAAATAACGAATCGAGACCACCGAATCGAGAACACCGAATCGTGTTGAAAACTTGTGCTAAGTCGGACTGCCGAAGCGAAGGCCTTTCAATGCTTCCACGTATACATGAAACATCCCTTGATGCAAAATATGTCCACTTTTAAAGATATTGGTGGCTACGTGGCAACGTAGTGAGTTTTAATTACGCATGTGTAGTGAGGTGAGACGGATTTATGAAAAATGCGCATACAAATGCGCACGACCACAATTCCATGCGACGCTAAAAATCTGCTTTTTTACTGCCTACTACACAAATTAGGCTGCTGCTTCGCTCGCTCGCTTCAGGCTCGCTCGCTCCGCAGCAATCATGACGAAGCAAACTTTGTGTTTTGAAAACGGGTTAGGATAAAACGCTGATACAGACGGACGGATAAATGACGGACGGACGGATGAATGACGGACGGACCGGATGGATGACATATATATGTCGTTATATAGTCTGCGCGCAGCCGCGCAGGGTAGTTAGTGCCTTACGTCTTCGCTGGTTGTTATACTTTAAAATAATTTTGTATGTACCAAGAAATCAATATTCCGAGTATATAAATATATAAACTGGGATGTCACACTGATAGCTTGTTTACATTTCCTGGAGCATCATGAAATCTTATGTTTAACCACGGTGGTTTAACCCATTAGCTGGCAATGCGCCCTTCCCTTGTCGAGCGCCAGAAGATTTTACTCGTCAGTGGTACAGGGTACTGCCAGTAAATGGGTTAACAAACCTATCTGCCAATGGCTCTTGTTAATTCATCAGCACAGTAATGACCCCTACTTTAGTATTTACCCTGTCCAACGCCAGACGATTTTTAATACTCAGTCAGTGGTAGAGTACTGTCAATAAATGGGTTAACAAGGATAACAGTTGCAGGCGGTATTTCCCAGGCTTGCCCAATTTTAGGAACCGCCTGCCATGCAGGCTAAACAATAATAGGATGTTTCTGAAGGACTCGTTCAACACCCTGTAGTTTGTCTTTTGCTGTCAAAGGCAGCATTACTGCCCTGTGGGTAACCTAGTTTGTGGCTATAACCTCTATTTTGTGGCTATCGAAGAAAATTGGAGATTCACTATTGGAGATTGCCGATCCACTAAAAATGAATGCCGAAACCTATACTCGCCCGGGGCACAGGTGCCCCAGCGAGTAATGAGGCATTTCAGCTGATTATCTATTGTTTTTAATGCGTTCGGCACATGAGAAGCGCGACGTTAGAAACAGGCCTTAGAATCATAATGGTAGAGATATGGAAAACGCACAGAAATGAAGATATTTATTGTCGCAAGCGCGATCTCGTATCGTTCGGTTTCTATAACCTTTAATATTTTAGCCAAATTTGTGTGCTTGTGGGTTAGCTGATCTTATAAGACCGGCGCTTTTTGCATTTACATTGCATTGATGAATGTTAGAGCTTCTGTTGGCAACAGCAAGGAAAATCAGCCCTAAGATAATTACCTGTCATCTAGACATATTAGGGTCGTCGAATTTTGTTGGAAGACATTTTGAAATGTCAGTTTCACTTTGAACTTCATATTACGAGTCTGGGTCAAACCAACCCAGGATTACATGAAGAAATAACCACAATTTTCACGTCTTCATAACTCGCCAACTCGACTCGGTCTCCACAGGGGTTTATTATACCCGAGTTAGCGAGTAGAACGCTAATAGGAATTTTATTTGTTTGACAGGGGCTGGCAAGCCACTGTACGTAATGTAGTCAGAGCCACTGTTTAGCATTATTCACTGTTCACAGATCAAGTCAAAACAGGAAATTACGTGTGCACGTACAGTAAATGATCAAAAACGAGTAAAAGCGAGTACAAGATTCTTAATAACTCGCAAGCTCGCTGCGAGTGCCTGCATCTAATTAAAATAAACTGTCTAACTACCTAACAAACTAACCTCGTTCCTAGGCTCTTACCTCTTGTGGAGGAAAGACCGTGGTAGGAGTTGGTCACGTGATTGCTCCACAAGAGGTCTTTCCTCCACAAGAGGTAAGAGCCTGGGAAACAGGTAAGAGCCTGGGAACGAGGTTGTGAAAGCACTTGCAGCGAACTTGTACCGAGCTTCCATCTGGACTCTTGCGATGAATGGAAAAGAGGCTTAATTTACTGAGGTAATCAAAAATAAGAAATACAAAAATCTCACCTGTAGAATGCAAAATTTCCGTGACAACAACTGAATGTTGCTCTTCTGCAGGACCATCTTCTGACGGCATTTCTTCTTGCATCGGAACTTCTGTTTCTGTAGTTTGACTGGTATCATTTACTAAACAAACAAAAAATAACCATAAAGTATCATAAAACTGTGAAACGATGCTCTATTATAGAAGCAAGTACACTGTGCGGGTCTGTGTCCATCATTTCCTGTGTCAAATTATTTCATGTGCCAAATTAAATTCTTTCCTATGTCCGATCTCCTAACTAGAATTTGAGTGAGCATTTGCCTGTAAATTTTAAAAATTTCACAGTGATCAGAGGGTATTTAAATTATTACACCCAAATTATGTTTTGCGCCCAAAATCTCAAAGACATGGTCAATTTATTTGACAATCATCAATGAACTACAATTGCTAATAATAAACATTTGATGTGGCTTAATGATTTTCCAATTAAAAACATATCACCTATTACTAATAATGATCAACTTATAAAGAGAAAAGGAAAGGAAAAGTATTTTTCTGTGTTTAAGAGCCCATGTAGGCCTTACATGCCTAGCGGGGCGAATATTTCAGTGTCGGACGGAGATGAATTTACAATGTAGTTGCAAAACTTGTATATTTCAGTCATGTAACACAAATGTTTAACGATATTGGTGTTTTTCTTCATTTACTTGCAACAATTGCTTTATAGCAACATATTGAATACTTGTTTACAAAACAAATATTAAACTGGGTTAAAATTGTTAAACTAAACAGCAAAATCCGAAATTCGGTTTCTTGGCTACAATCCCAGTAAGCTGGCGTGGCTTCCTTATCTAGCCTGTGTGCAGCCTCAACCCGAATTGAATAAATGCACACAGGCTAGGCTTCCACAGCCGAGATCTCACCAAGTGGCCCACTTCTGATAAACGTGATGTAGATTTTTATAGTAAAATTAATAGGTGAGATCATAGGTAGGATGGATGTCTCTGTAAGCAGGCTCATATGAACAGGCCCTAAGGGATATGGGATTCAGATTGATGATAGTGTACTGCGTCAGATAATAGTGAATGTGGTTGAACGAAGTACATCAGAACCTTAGATTTACAGTGTGTGGTACCTGATGATGTTGATCTTCTTTGAGCTTCCTTGGACAGGTAGTATCTCTGAGATCGACGCACCTTTTTCTGCAAATGTTTTTGCTCACATTGTAACGGGGTCAGTTGTCCTGTAAGATTGTTCAGTTCTTGTTGCAAATCACTGGTCTAAAATAATGTTTTTAAAATGTAAACTAATAGTTCAGGCCAAGTAAAAAAAAATTCCCGGTTTCTCAACAGCGCCCGCATTAGGAAATAGCCGCCGCATTTGTATTTTTTTTTATAAATAACAATTACATGAAATATTTAGCGGTGGGTGGTCAGCAGTGTAACATTTTATGCAAATGGCCGCCAACCTCATGTTTTTTTATAAATACTATATTTTAAATAAATATACATGGTAGAATAGTGGTTTTTATTAAACAATTTAAGTTCAGTTGTTAAAAAATAACTGGTTGTTTAATATAAAAAATAAAAATAAAAACCGCCCGCCGCATTTGCATTTCAAAAAACGTCTGATGAGAAACCGGGAATTTTTTTTACTTGGCCTCACATAGAACTGTTTTACACATTGATGTGCTCCGTTTAACAGTAAAATCATCTGGGGCTTAAAAAGAGACACTGCCAGAATCATAGGTAGAAGTTGAATCATATAATCAAAGCTTTTTTGTGAGGTATTGACATTTCCACATGAACTGCAACGTGCATTGTGTGGGATGAATTACTAGTGCCATGCCGCTTAAACAAGTATGTACAACTACTTGAAAAATATAAGCAGAACTTCATGATTCGAACCGATCTAACTTCCTGAGGAAGGGTCTATTACATTTCTATTTCAGAACCATCATCAGATCAAGATATGAAAAACTAGTTCGGATCCATATTATTCCCACGTCATTGTACAGTACTGTAGAGTCAGGACAGTAACTTGGGTATTACGGCTGGAGGTGTGAGCTTGTTTTGCCCGACCAAAAGGGCGTGCCTGACGGACATTTCAGGCGCTAATTAAGATTTCTTTTCTCAAAATTGTCGGACCAAAATTTGTACAATTTTTCAGTAATATTTTCGTTAATTTATAAAAATTTTCCCTACAATAAATTACTTTTCAAAAAATTATGTAAAATTTTTGGCTGAATAAGAATTACATATGTTTTTGTGTTGTTAAAATTGCTAAAATTGCCCGACAAAACTGCAATATTACAACATTGGGGGGTGCCTCCCCCCACACACACCCCAGGAGTTACGTCCGTGTCTACAATGTCAGAATAATATGAAACTAGTTTCTAAGGGCCTATTACCTACTCAAAATATGGCAATGTTTCTCTCCTCCACAGAGGCACAGAGTAGAGACATACAGAGACATAACTGACTGTCATAAACACTGCGGAAGATTACGTAATCATGTACCCACTTTTTTTCAGGCGACCGGGCGAAAAATGATCAGCTGCACGTGCTCAGCAAGTTTATTAAAGTGAGTCATCATCAGGTCGTCATCCAATCAGATGCATGCATCTAGTAACTTGCTGAGCATGCACACAAAAAAAGTGGGTACACTAGTTACGTCTCTGAATGTCTCTACTCTGTGACAGAGGCTTACATGAAGTTCCTAGTGAGGGAAAAGTGAGCCTGCAAGGAGTGATGGTCTGCACGTGCTCACTTTTATTCAGGAAACTTCATGTAAGTTATTTGTAAATACTTAAGGAGGCTCTGCAGAGGAGAGAGGCAATGTTTTGTATTTGTGCCTATTCAACCTAAGATTACCACAAATAATTATTTCTCCAATACCGGTTGTTTATTGCTCTCCAACTCCCGCCTTTTCTTAATCAACATGACTTGTCTCTCTGTGAGCTTCTCTATCAGTGTGCTGACTTCTTGAAGCCTTTCTTGACGACTTATCCTATTAGCTGATCTAAATATATCTATAGTAGAAATGCATTTAATTAAAGTGCCTATGCAACAAAATGTTTACCTCATTTTTTATTGTTTTTCTAAAAAGTACTGCTGGATTGATGAAGAATGACGTTTACAGTATCGTCATATCTCATCTCATTCTCAAGTTATCGCACTTTCTATATTTTGAGTTGTGACATCACAAGTTGAGATAATGGCAATAACAAGAAAGTATGATATCTTGGTGAGTATTTAATAAAATTCAGTGAAACTTGGTACACTTAGTGGGTGCAACAAGGTCAACAATTTCGCTTGTTTATATGGTTGTTCTGGCAACACATTCATCCCCAGTCCCTTCTCTTACAATTTCTATATGATCCATTTCCAATGAAATAAATAGGAATTTCTGCAATTTTCGCTTATTACTATAATAAGTGTAGGTATTGTGATCAGTTTAAACAGTTATAATATGTAAACATTCTGTACAAGAGGTCTACAGGAGGAAAGTTGTGAAAAGGAAGAGAAGAGACTGGGGACTAGTGTGTTGCCATGATAACCACATGACCTGCCAAAAATATTCATATGGGTGCACCCACTAAGTGTACCGAGTTTCATTCAATTTTATTAAATACTCACCAAGATATCATACTTTCTTGTTATTGCCATTATCTCAAGTCATACTTGTGACGTCACATCTCAAAATATAGAAAGTGAGATAACTTGGGAATGAGATGAGATATGACGAAACTGTAAACGTAATTCTTCATCACTCCAGCAGTACTTTTTAGTTAACCATTAGAAAAAATTATACTGTAGTGCTATTACTTTTTCAAAATGGATTCTTTGCAAACAGCTAAATTTAAAAGAAAGTTTTGAATTATAAACAGCTATGTGATTGGCCAAATGATCATTTTTATCCGCAAACTACATCACAAAGGAGACTTTTTAAAAAGGTCAATTATATAGTTTTATGTGGATACTAAATTTTATGTTGCAGAGCCCAATGGAGTTACACCATTGCAATCACTAGCTTGACAAGCATGTATATATTTCATCAATGTAGGCTGGAGCAACAAGGTCAAGGAAGAATTTCGTTCTCGACCAATCAGCTTATTTGTTGACAATTTTGCTGGGAGGGCTTATATTTGGGAGGGCTTATATTTGGAGGTTTACAATATCATCACAGAATAAGGTACACAGAAGGCTGACTTCTTGGTTTTTCCTATGATTTTCCTATGATTTTGGCATCATGGTCCTAGCCAGTGCACGTTTAAGAGGCATTCACCCCCCTGATATTATTCAAAATGGGGGACATCCAGGGGGGAATGCCTCTCAAACGCACACTGGCTAGGACCATGGCGTCAGCATTTTGATGATGAATCATGGCGTGGCAGCGGTTACTCGAGTCGACCTTCTTTGTGCCTTATTCTGTGATGTCATGGTATACTCCTGACTGGAAAGTTTGGAAATTGTGTGCCGGAGATTTCGAAAATTTAATAGTAAATATATAAAAGATCAAAATTGCGCGTCAGAGATATCCGCTGCACAATACAAACTTTCCACACTGGGGTATACTATATGCACCATAGTATTCATCATATTGTACCTTTATCCTCCATTGCTTCACCACCTGACTCGTCAACAAATTTTGACCGAGAATGACCATGGACAAAAGAAAACCCACTGTCACGAACAATACGTCTTGCTTGGGTAAAAAGTTCATCTCTTCGAACTAAGAGTGTTGGATCTCTTAAGCACAACTGAGCTGCGGCTTCATTGATGATTTGTTCATGACTGTTTAAATCTATGCACTTTCTCTTCTTTGTATCTCGGCCGTAAATTCGTGAATGCTCGCGAATTAGTTGTTTGCGTTCCTCGTCTAAATTTTCCCAGTCAATTATAGCTTCCATTGCAGGTAGTTTCAATTCAAACACACCAGATTTCGCATTTCTGTTTTGGCCTTTGGATGCAGGCCTTCCTCTTTTGGCTGCTGTTGGTGAAGATTGAACCTCGCTTTCAACAGAGTTGCCTGTAATTATTGTCACTGTCGTTGTTGTGGGTTTAGAAAGACTTATATTTATGCTTTTTGTAGTTGTACTTTGTTCACTATTCCATGTTTCTATCCATGAGGGACCAAGGGTACTAGAACTGGGCTTATTCTTTCCAGATTTCTGTTTCTCACTCCAAAATTCAAGCAAAGCTTTCTGTAGTCTTCGAATATGCAATGGCTTTGTATGCATGCCAACCAATTTTGTAATTTCCTTAAATTCATATTCTGTTGCTTCGCAAAGTTGGTCGATGTCGTCTCCACCTTGTGACAGAAATCTGTCATAGTAATCCGACAATTTTGCACTCTCCAACAACGAATACAATGTACAAACGTTTTGTTGTTGTGTATTTTGCCCTTCCATTTTCTTACCCTACCCTAGTAAGCAAAGACAAAAAGCGTGTCAAGTTGGTCACTCACCCTCGCTCCCAGCCAAACATTGCTTCACGTTGATTGGTCAATATTTCAATACTTCGTCTTTGATTGGTTCATTTGTTGCTTCTATCGATTCCCCAATCGCAGGACTCGGGGAAATAAGGAGACAGTTTGTAGCGCATGTGGATATATAGTGCGCGGAATAGCGGACTCCAGTGACTCCACAAATGAAACGTGCCAACAAAACGGATGAAAAATACATGCTAAGAAAGCTAATAGTGTGTCAACTGTCTCTAATGTGAAGCGGAATGTCATGAAGCGGCCCATCCAAACCAAGCAGTTTGCTTTTATAGAACGAAGATCATTTTATACAGTGAAAATATAAAAAGTGACCCGCTTCTGAAGTCTGTTGTGATTTACTGCAACTTGTTCTGTTTTTCTGTAGTGATTACCGATTTATCGGCAAATACCGCAATAAAATTTAAATTTCGTACCTTTTATGCAATGAAACCAGGGGCCGCGGAACCGGGGGGCAATGGGGGCATGTGCACCTCCCTTTTTTTTTCAAAAGTGAAAAAAGTGTCCTTTTTCTGGGCTAAAGTGACCCATTTAAAGCGGAACGAATTTCTTGAATGAACGCCGTCTTTTGATGGAAAGAAAGTGCCCTTTTGCAGTAGTAAAGACGCTACAGAAAAACAGAACAAATAAATCATAACAAACTACAGAAGCGGAACACTTTTTCTATTTTCTACGTCTATTAACCGTGATTGGGCTGAGTCAATCTTGACTCCATGCCAAATTCTAACTCGGCACTAACCTGGTTAATTTCGGTGTTGTTTAGCATTTAGCTGGTACGCTGTTTTGATTGGGAACATTTTTCTAGTTATAGACGAAACTTTGCACTTTAGCCTATTAAAATCAGGGACACCGGAACCGGAGGGCAGGAGGGGCAGCCGGCCCCGTTGCCCTTTAGGCTTTACCAGGAGGGGCCAGGGCCGCCGAGAGGTTGACGGGGGCCCGGGGCAAATTTTTTTTAGGGGCCCCTATTTCAAATTTTTTTCCGGAAAAAATTTTTTTTCAGACAACAAACTCCCCCCCCCCGTCGACAACTTTTAGGTAAAAAAATTTTCCGGGCGCGTATGTGGCAATTGCTTTCTGGGGACTTTATCTCAATTTTTCACACCAAATTTTGGTACTTAGCCCAAAAAAACAAATATCTTGCCCTTTGTGCCGAAATATTTAACCCACAAAAATGACAGGGGCGCAACAAAAAATTTCCAGGGGGCCCCCAGCATCTCGGGGCCCGGGGCAATTTGCCCCTCCTGCCCTCCCCTCTCGGCGGCCCTGGGAGGGGCAAGGGGGGTAAAGGCGCCCTTTCAATTTAATGGATTGCCTTGGCGAAATAGCGAATTGTCAGAAATGTTAGTGCAATTCTTTTACGAATTTGCTTCAGAAAACGCAAGAAATGCAGTCATTGAGCTTCAAGAATAGCACAATCGCCTGGCGGAGAACCCCTCACACCCCTATCATCCAATCAATAGAAAACATGATTAGGCGAAGTTCAACTCCCGATGTTTCGCAAACATCTCTTAGTATATATCAATTCAAAAGTGCCCTTTCACGAAAATCTGCCCCCCTTGACCTACTATATATATACATCGTTCCGGCGTCCCTGATTAAAATGCAAAGTTATGACCAATAGTCATGACCTTGCCATGACCAACATTCAAGACCTGGAGACCGGATTGAGAAGAAAAGTAGTCACAGGGGACAGGCCATACCTTCTATACTTCAACCTTTATAGTCTTTATCAATCGAAAATATGACTTAGCTATTGAATACTGAGATAATGTAAGATGTAAGATATATAATACGAGATAAATTAAATAAGCACGTGTACGTGTGTGGTGTAAATCCCGTTTTGTGCTGCAACAATGTTTATTATTTTTACATCATTGACATTGTCACTTTCGATTTCAGTTTTTATCAAATTAAAAAGTTTATTCTTGAAATTACCATCCATTTCCTGGATTTATTATTGTGGCTCCATATTTGCAAGTTAAGGAAATTAATTTGCCCATTGCTACTTTTCTAAAAGCGTTTCTTCGCTATCAGTTTGTATTCCTTCGGGTAGCGGACCGCGCTTATTTCACCATCAAAGACAGGTTCTGGCTCCCCATCTGGAATTTCAAATCTGTATTGATGCAACAACCTAGACGTCATGGTGAACAGTTGCATCTTTGCCAGAGCTTGGCCTACACATGATCTGCGGCCAAACCCGAAAGGTATAAAACCAGGCAAGGTATTCCATCCCACAAAATTCCCATTTGTATTCAGAAATCGTTGCGGCTTGAATAACGTTGGTTCATCCCATTCTTTTGGATCATGGTGTATTTTCCAATGGTTAAGGAACACAATGGTATCCTTGGGAACGTGATAACCATCAATAACTGAATCTCTGATTGCCTTGTGTGGCGCGGAGAACGGCGCAAACACTGAATGACGCATCACTTCACAAATAGTAGCTCGAAGATATGGCAGGTTCTCAGTATCTTGCAAACAGGGTAACTTATCTCTGCCAACTACTTCGTCTAGTTCTTTAAAGAGTTTTCCTTGGACGTCTTGGTAACGGATCATGTAGAGGAGGAACCATGATAGGATGGAAGAAGTAGTGTCACTAGCGCCAAGGAACGCATCCACCACCAGGAAGCGTAAATCGTCGATTGTTCCCAGATCTTTGTTTGGGGTTTTCGCCTTTTCTTTCTGATACGAATACATAAGGGCATCCATGATATCTCGTACCACGCCATTTTTGTACGTTTTTTGATGATGTTTGAGATGTGACCAAAAGAAATTGTCAATTTTTGTTCGCACTGCCGCGACAGTCTTCATAAACTCTGTTGGGAAATACTTTAGAAACGGAAGGATTTGATAATAACCACATTGGCAGTTGAGTTTAAGCATATCTTCGTCAAAATCTATCAGTTCTTTTAAAACCGGGTCTTCGTTTTCGAATTTTTCAGAAAAAAGCCAATTAGTAATTACCCTGATTGTAGTAGTCATCATCAACTTTTTTGGTGTAAATTGTCGTTCATTTGTGGCCTCAATTTCTTTTAGCAGCCAATCCACTTCTCTGTTTACTCTCTCCTCTGCTGTTCGCACTCCCTCGCCAAACATGTGTAGTGCCAATAACATTATTTTTCGACGAAACTGAAAAAGAGGTCCATAGTCTCCAGCGATAAGGTCTTTGTTTTCAAGTAGTTCGTATGCAGGGAAGTACAATGGACGACCTGCAAAGTCATCTTTTCTTTCCACCATTACCTCTCGGGCGAGAACACCGCTGCTTATAATAACAACGTCTCCAATAGGTGTGGTAATTGTGAAGACATCTCCATACTTCTTTCGAATGTCGTCCATTGTGAACGGAGGATTTGAGCCAAGCTGATGAACGTTTCCAATGAATGGTAATGGAAAGGGACCTGGTGGCATTTTTCTGCGTTTGATAAAACTCCTGGCTACCGAAGAAATAAGCCAAATAAGAAATAACGACAGTAAAACTTCGATGAACATGGCGCGTTGTTTTACACCTGAAAGATGATGATTGATAATTAAGTTTGAAATAATTCCATCTCTTTGGTCTTTCCTTTAGCCCTTGTCAAACAAAGTGAAAGTTGATGAGAGTTAGCATTCACACATTGTTACGGGGAAATGTCAAGCTCTAGATTAACGAAATAAAAGTTTGATGATTGTTCCAACCATGTTTTTACTTAAATAGAATGCTTATTAGTGTTAATTGGGAAAGCATTAAGAGCAGCTAACCAAGATCACGTGACGGCCAACTCTCATGCACCTTCAAATTAAACCTCGTTTAAATCGGGCTTTTCGTAGTTCGCCTGGCCTTGCAAAATTATTGCGGGAACCACTGACCATTTTCATGAAATACACAACAGCGGTAAAACCCTGGCATGGGCAAACTAGGAAACATTGTTGCGGAAACATTTGTGATTCTCGATGTTTCCACAAATGTTTCCCTGTTTGCCCACCCGTGGAAACATTGTTGCGGAAACAAAATTTGCTTCCCGAGAAGTAAAAATGTTTCCTAGCAAATTCAGAAACATTTGATGTTTCCCT